CGAAAGGCAACCACCGTCCAGAAACCAGACCACGGCTGCATCACCAGCTGCCACACACCCCGACCCCCAAACCAAGCAAACTGATACATGCCATGAACACATAGCCAGACCTCAAACTCGGAGCCAAACCAAAGCCCGGAACATTGCATGACAGCCACCCACCCAGGATATCACATCACGGAACTCAGGAGGTTACACCACAAAACCTCAGGATGTTACAACCCAGCCAGCGACCCAGGAGATTACAGCACAAGACCCTGGATGTCACAAGAATAGAACGCAGAAGGTCATCACACAGCCCATTACCCAGATTGTTACAACACAGGAGGCTGATAGACACACAGCCAATACCTCAGCCACACATGTTCTTACGAAAAAGCCAACCAATCTGCAAACATCAACTCCATCAACCAATCAAGAATCAGCACAGCCAACCAGCCCACTTACAACAGAGCCAGCACACCACACCTCCCCACCAGTATTTATAGAGAGACAGCAGCTCCGATCACGCTTTGCTCGCACAAACACGAAGCCGAAAGCACCAGCCTGAAGATGGCAAGTGGGACCTCATCAAAACATCGCCAAGATACTCTCCTTAGCCATCTACCTATTCGCCAAAGCACTGGACAGCAGGACAAGAAGCAACAGATGGAAACTAATCAAGGAGAGAAGCAACCTAGAGCTTAGGAAAAAATTCCCTGAAAGGAAGAACAATTAACCAGTAGCGTAGCTTCCCTTTAGAAGTTGTGGGTGCTTCATCATTGGAGGTTTTATAAGAAGAGACTGGATAGCCCCTTGTCTGGGATGGTCTAGTGTCTCCTGCTTGAGTAGGGGGCTTGAACTAGAAGACCTCCAAAATCCCTTCCAGCACTATTCTGTACATATATAAAACACTTTCCTGGGAGTCATAGCAGGGGATCTCTGAGGATGTTAGATTTCCATGACTGTTGAGAAGACCAGGTAAGAATGGAGGTTCTACCAACTCCATCATTCCTTCTCTCTTCTCTAGGAATCGCAAAGGCCGTCTGATTTTACCAGGGTGCTTAAGCAGATCCATGAGGTAAGAACAGTTGGATTTATATTCTTAGCCGATGAATCTCGGAAGCAGGACGAAGCGTGCACTAAGCAAAGAGATGGGCAAGCTATCTTTGACCCCCAAGCATCTCAATCTAGAGTCGTTGTCAGAACTTCCACCTCATTGCCAGTCGGTGGGGTGGGGAGGTTGAAAGGGTGGACAAGGCCTTGGGGGGGGAAGTGAAACTGAACGGTGAGAATTGATGATGTCTTCAAGGTCCTTTCCCTGGGAAGAAGAATGCCAGCGCCAGGTAGAGTGATTGTTTCCAAAACATCTCTTTCGAAATAGATTGGACAATGAGAGAGACCAGCAATGGGTCTTAAGGGTAGAAAGTTATCTGGGAAAATTTGGCTCTTTTTTTCTTTCTTTTGCTACTGTAATTCACTTGACTTCTAGTGAACGATACCTTTTTATCAATCATTTCTTCAACCCAGGGAGGCAAACTGAAGATCAGGCCTCCTCCGTTGACCTTTTCCTACAACTTCTCTGTCTGCCCCTTGAGGTGATTCCCCAGCTCGGTTCTTCTGCAGGGTTACGAGATGAGGACCTACGCAGCTCCCGTCTTTTCCCGTTTCCGGCAGTACCTTGGCATGGCGGACACGGATTTCCAAATGTCCTTGACGTGTGAGAGCGCCTACCTGCAGTTCATCAGTAACTCTAAAAGCCAAGCTGACTTCTTCCTCACGTAAGGCATGGGAAGAGGGAATCCCAAGCAGATACATTCATTTAAAAGGTCTTGTACCGGAGAGGAACGATAATCATACCAAACTACATTAATGTTGTTATATCTATCAAAGATCTATCTATCCATTCTTCCACCTACTCAATTTATTGCCTGTCTGTCTGTCTATCATCTATTTATGTATGTATCCATCCAGTTTGTCTGCCTATCATCTCTCTATGATCTACTTATCTATTAGTTATCGTCTATCCATCTATCT